CAGCAGCAGCTCCACCAGGCAGGGGCTGTCCCGCAGCAGCTGCAGGCTGGACCCTGGACAAGGCCCGGCGTCACGCACGGCCGGCCTGCCCCGAGGGCCGCGCTCCCTCCCGGCCGGCGCCCCCAGGCCTTCAGGGGGAGCAGCTGACGGAGGACACGAAGGTCCCTCGCAGCACTCGGCACAGGGGACACACTGGAAGGCCAGCACCTCCGCCCAGGCCGGGCGCAGACAGGGAGTGCCTGGCCGGGCTCGGTCGCGCTGACCGTGACAGAGGTGCCGGTTCCAGCGGGACCACCTGCCCTCCAGCGGACACTTTCCTCTCACGCTGAGCCGGCCCGATGCCGGGAAGCACGGCAGGACGGGCAGGACGGCCAGGCCTGCCGACCCCGCACCGAGCTCTGCCCTCCCCCACGCCCGGTCACTGCCGGTCCCCGCCCCCACCGGGGAGGCAACTCGGAGGAGGGCGGGTCCCCACGAGGCCCCAGCGAGGCCCCGGACACGGAGCTCCGGGGAGCCGGACCGGACAGAGCGAGGAGGAGGGGGCCCACGGACACCGGGAAACGCAAAGGCGCCCGGGCTAAGGGACAGGGTGGGCTTCGGAAGGACGTAAAGTAAGACAAAGCACCGGGGCCCGGGGCCCGTCTGCCGAGTCCCCGCAGGGGGACCCAGCGCGCAGAGGGATGCGTGTGCGCGGGCGGTGGCCGCTGAGAACGGGCGCGGGACACGCAGCTGAGAAGCCGGAGACAGAGGTGAAAAGACGGAAAGCTCTATCCGCCCATGGAGGGCAGGACCGGGAGGAAAGGGAGCAGAAACAGGAAAACGGAAGGCAGGTTCAAAGGTCACAGGAAGCACACGGAGCAGGCCCGCCGTGCTAACGGAGCGGCTGGGTCCCGGCGAGAGCCACGGGCGGGCGGGCTGAGCGGCGAATCCTACACGGAAAAAGCCGGCTTCGGCGGGAAGCCGTTCCAGAGGAGACGGGACCACGGGAGCTGCTCGCTCCAACGCCACGGCTCACGGAGGGAAAGGAGTCCCAGGGGAGAGTGGGGCCCACAGTCTCCGAGGAAGGTGTTCACACGCCTCGCAGGAACCACCGAGCCACGTGAGCAGGAGCACAAACACGTGACTGAGGAACCGTCATGGAGCACGTACACGGAACAGAGGGAAGATGCGGGGGGGGGGGGGGGGGGGGGGGGGGGGGCACGAGGCCAGGCCTCTGGGGATAAAAATGCTGCACAATGAGGTTGTGCGATGGCTGCAGAGCCTGTGAGTGCCCCAAAAGCCCCAGAGCTGGCTGTCAACTCCATCTCAACAAAGCTGCTCAAAGCCATGCTTTACATGTGACCACAGCCCTGGCCCATATGGCTCAGCGGGTAGAGCATTGGCCTGCAGACTGAAGGGCACATGCCTGGGTTGTGGGCTTGATTTACAGAGGATCGCTGATCAGCTGCCTCCTGCACGCCCCACACTGGGGATGGAGCCCACAACCTGGCCATGTGCCCTGACCAGGAATCGAACCCTGACCTAGTTCGTTGGTCGATGCTCAACCATTGAACCGCCAGCCAGGCATGTGGTTGAAGTTTTATATAAAGAATATGTATTACGCCCCTGGCTGGTCTGGTCCGTGGTTAGAGTGTTGGCCTTGCATGGGAGGGTCTCGGGTTCGATTCCCGGTCAAGGAATGCCTGGGCTGCAGGTTTGATCCCAGCCCCGGTCTGGGCATGTGCAGAAGACAACCATATGAATGTTTCTCTCTCCCCCTCTCTCCTTTCAATCTTCTCTAAAAACCAACGGTGGAAAAAATATCAGATTGTTTTTAAAGTTTTATTTTCATATTCAGAGAGAAAACAAAACTGACTTCTTAAGAAAGAAAAGCAATGCATTGAGAACAGGAAAAGGAGGCAGGCACCTAGCACAGACCGAGCTTCGGGGCCTGAATCCGGCTGGAACCCCAGCACTTCCAGCTGCAGCTCTGGCTCCTGACTTCTCCCTCACCCCGAGGTGTCCCCAGGCAGCCAGGGGGCTCCTCAGGATGCGAAGGAAGGACACTGGCCAGATGGGGACCCCTCCTCCAGGACAGGGGAGCCCTGCGCCTCGGGAAAGCCAAGCCCAGCGCCCTTACCTGCTTCGGTGACAGATTTAAACCAGTCCAGCAGCTTCTCCAGACAGGTGTCGTCCGCCACGGGCTGCCCGGGGTCCGCCAGAGCCGCACAGAGAGCCGGGAGGAGCCGGGAGCACTCGGGGTCCATGATGAGGCCGGGGGTCCTGCAAAGGGAACGTCAGGGCCGGCCCCTCCAGCCCTGGTCGCCAGCAGCCCCCACGCCTGCCCAGGACTCCAGACAGCGGGCATCGCGAAGATCACCGCCCTGGGGTGATGCAGGCGCCCGTGCAAAGCCTCAGCCTGGATGCAGGTCCGGAGCAAGCCCGCCCTAGGGCCGGAGCATGCTGCTCACTGGGCTGCAGGGGGCCAGCGCCGGGTGCGGGTCCGTCGGGGCCGCTACGTGCTCACGTGCGTCTGAGTCCGGACTGGGTCAGGACTCAGTCCGGACTCAGACGCACGGCCCGTCCCTCCCGAGCACCTGTGCACCTGCGTGTGGGGCCGGGCGAGGCGTGTGCACGCGGTAACACGCACCCCGAGTGCGATCCGTAACCTCTAGCCAGCCGGGGTCAGGAGGGCCTGCGGCGGGCGTGGGGCAGGGTGGCCGGCGGCTCTGTCGGGGTCAGGAGGTCCGCCCGGGCCGGGGTGTCCGTCTCCACCGGAGCGCGGCTGGGTCCCTGCAGACCAGCCCTCCGCAGCGGAGTCAGCCTGAGGCCCGTGGAACCCGCGCGGGCGCCGGTCGGGCGGCCAGGAAGGGCCACAGGGACCGGGGGACCCAGCCGGGCCGCGCACGCCAAGCCCGGCGGCTCCCGCCTTCGCCCGAGGTCCCGATCCCGCCGACCGGCACGGAGACCGCAACCCTTCCGCCAGTCACTCGCTCCGGTCCGTCCGCGCCGAGGCCCCGCCCCGCATCAGGCCCCGCCCCACAGGCCCCGCCCCGCCAGCAGGCCCCGCCCCGGACCGCGCCACCTGCCAAGCCTGGAGGGGGGAGTTCGAGGACGGCGGGCACGGGAACGAGCTCCCGCGAGACCGCTCCGGAGCCCATAGGGACAGTGAGAGAGCAGAGTCGCCGTGAAGGGCGTCAGATGCAGGCCAGCGCCAAAGCGGACGCCCCTACCGAGAACGCGCCCCCCGACGGGGCACTCAGTGGTACGTGCCAGAGCGTCCGCCGGGCAGGGCGCCAGGAAGGCGGGGCTTCAGGAAGAGGCGGGACTATTCCCGGAAGTGGCGGGCCCTACCCGGGCCTGGTACTTCCTGTCTGGAATGGGGGAGGAACACGTGCCCCAGAGGAGCATCTTCTCCCCGGAGGCAGAGTCCGTGGTCACTGGCCTCCCAGCCCGGCCCTCCGCGGCCCGAAGGCCTCCGGCCAGCGGGTAAACAACAAGGCCCTGCCGTGCAGAGTCCGTGTTTGAGCATCCTCCGGGGAAATGCCTGGTCTGCAGTGTAAGGAAGTGGAAAGCAGGATTCCTGAGTATTAAGGTTAAATAAAAAGGGGGCTTTAAACACGTTCCTTTTTAAAAATATATATTTTATTAATTTTTCTTACAGAGAGGAAGGGAGAGGGATAGAGAACTAGAAACGTTGATGAGAGAGAAACATCGATCAGCTGCTTCCTGCACACCCCCTATTGGGGATGTGCCCACAACCAATGTACATGCCCTTGACCAGAATCGAACCCGGGACCCCTCAGTCCGCAGACCGACGCTCTACCGCTGAGCCAAACCGGTTTCAGCTAAACACTTTCCTTTTGATGGGGGAACCACTTCGGACGCCTCAGAACTCCTTGGGTGAAGAGGTTTGTTAACCACAAAACAAAACATTGAAACCTGTAGAGAATTTGTGTGAGTTTATTTGAGCCAAACTGCCAACATCTGCCGGGAAGCAGAACCTCAACGAGGTGAGAACACTCGGAGAATGGAGGGTTACATCGGTATTTACACGTTGCAATCACAGAAGAGGGAGTGGGTGAGTTACCTGAAATCCATTGGTGATGGGTTAAGGGGGTGGGACAAGCAGAGCAGGGGAGACCTGGGATTGGGTGAGAAGTGACAGATGGACAGGTGCTTCTCTGTAAGAGACGGATACAGGATGCTTTAACCTAATTAACAGCTGACAATTAACTTTATAATTAATTGTCATTGGCTGTGCCCTGAGGGGTCCGGAGTAAAAAGGAAGTTACAAGTTACACCGACTTCTCACAGATATAGAGTAAGGTGACCGGACGTCCCGCTTTTGGCGGGACAGTCCCGATTGTTAACAATTTGTCCCGAGTCCCGTGGCGTTTTAAAAACGTCCCTATTGTCCCGGCAAAAGTGGGACGTCTGGTCACCTTATCTTAGAGGCAAAAAGACAAATGGGCTCAGGAAAGATCTAAGTGGATCTTTGTCACTAGCCTAGGACATGACTGCCCACCCTAACCTGTTTGTAGTTAAATATTTCATTTTCAAACCATCCTTTGTGGCGATTTTAGGTCTCTGAGTTTGCAAGACCTCCACGCAGGCTCCCCGGAGCTGGCAGGCCAGCAGTGGCTCCCTCCGTCCGCGGTGTGAGCCCCAGTGGCTCCCTGAACGGGGCTCAGTGGGAAACGGAGTGCAAACCTTCGCCGGCTGCGGTAGTCGAGGGGGCCCTTAGGTGGCGCTGTGCGCGGGGCTCCCCTCGCTGTGAGCTCGTGTTCCGCAGCGCCTGCAGGCGGCGCTCTTGCCGCCCTCGGGGAGGAACTGACGCTCGGAGGTTCTCTCCCGCCCCGCGACCCGCTCCCGGCTTCTCGCGGGAGGACGGCGACGCCGGCGGACGGACCGTAGAGCCCGGAGGCCGGTCCCCGCCCCGCCCGCCGGGAGCGCTTCCGGTCGGCCCGCCCGCGGGAGGGGGGGGGATAGGGCTAGGGGGCGGGGCCGCGCACGCGCAATGTGGGCCGGCCCACCGGGCGCCACATCCGGGGCCCGCGCGGTTGCCATGGCAGCGGGGTCGCGGCGGGCGCGCGCACGGGTCTTGGGGTTGCGGGCGGACCGGCGGCCCGCGGCGCCTCAGAACCGGACCGCCGCGCCGCAGCGCCGCAGCCCCGCAGCCATGTCGCTGGGCACCGGGGACCCGGCCTCGGAGACGGTAAGCCGGGGCGGGCGCCCGCTCCCTCCCGCGCGCGGTGCGAGGGGGACGCGGGCCGGGGGCGCCGCCGTGACCGCTGCGCGATTGTTACCGCACAAGCGCGGCCGCGGCCCCGCCCGGCCTCCGCACCCGGACCGCCGCCCTGCACAGGCCGCCGCCTCCAGGAAGCCCTCCTGGACGCAGCGCCCGGGAGGCAGGCGTGTGCGGTGCCCGCGGCCGCGGCCCGCGGGGGACGGAGCTCGCGGGGTAAGTGTTCGCCCGCCCCGCGCCCACCTGGGGCCTCGGGCCTCTGGGGCCACGGCCGGGCGAGCGGCGAGCCCTCCGTCCCGGTGGAGCGCTGAGCCCGCCCGCTCCGCTCCCGGGATGGAGGCCCGGCTCTCACCGCCTTCCGGGGCTCCGGCCCGGCTGCCTGAGGCTGCCTGGGAGCGGGGGTTCCAGCGGGGAGCCAGGCCGGCAGGTCCTGAGCTGCAGGCTGCGGGGGTGGAGGGGTCAGGCTGCGGGGGTGGAGGGGTCAGGCTGCGGGGTCAGGCTGCGGGGAGGGGGTCAGGCTGTGGGGGGTCAGGCTGCGGGGGTCAGGCTGTGGGGAGTCAGGCTGCGGGGGGTCAGGCTGCGGGGAGGGGGTCAGGCTGCGGGGGTGGGGGGGTCAGGCTGCGGAGGTCAGGCTGCGGGGAGGGGGTCAGGCTGCGGGGAGGGGGTCAGGCTGCGGGGAGGGGGTCAGGCTGCGGGGGTGGGGGGTCAGGCTCCGGGGGTCAGGAGCAGGTGCTCTGAGGGTGCAGGCGCCCTGGGACCTGGAGCAGACGGGCAGCCAGTGCCAGGCCCTGAGCGGGAGCTGCAGCGGCTCCAGGCTTGGGGTGAGAGTGGGGGAGAACTTGCAATTTTAAAAACTGAGAGATTTATACTGTTTTGTAACCTTTGCCACTTAGTTTGTTGTTTGCCGTTTCCCATAGCCACACTTTTTCAAGGACATGATTTCATTTATTTTTTAAATAATAATTTATCACTACTTAATAACTTGGCCTGTTCTTTGTCACGAAATCTGTGAATCAGCTTCAATCTTTTCTTTTCTTTTTTAATCCTCATCCAAGGATATTTATCCATTGATTTTTAGAGAGAATGGGAGAGAGAGGGAAAGACGGAGAGAAACATCGATGTGAGAGAAACACTGATTGGTTGCCTCCTGCAAGAGTCCAAATCAGGGCCAGGGATTGAGCCCGCAACCGAGGTCTGTGCTATTGAACCCGGTCCACAGGCCGACAACGCTCTCTCCACTGAGCCAAAGCAGCCAGGGCTCAAAAGCAGGATTTTAAGTATTCGAGCCTGTGGCTCCCCTGTTTTATTGATGATTTCCCTGCTCTTGCTCCCTCCCTTTCGTTGTTTGCTGTTAGAAACACTCTTTCCCAAGCGTTTGGTAAGCCCCCTCTACGGGCCAGGCTCTGAGGGCACAGGCGGGCTGTGGCTTCTCCGCGGGCAGGCTGTCCAGGCCCCGTCCCGCGCTCCTCAGCGCCCAGCGCCCGGCTGGCTGGTCTCTTCCCAGCGCTCACCACCTGGGCCCCCACCTCCCGGGCGGCGACAGGCCCACTCGCAGGCCCCAGGGAGCCGTGGAGCCTGGGCATGACCCCCTGACGTAAGAGCCACGCCGGGGGCAGGGATGGGTTTCAGACTTTTGGGCTAACCTCCTAGGGGTCCCTCCCGGGTCGGCAGGAGCTCCTTGTTGGTCAGAGGCTGTTTGAGGCCCCAGACAAGCCCGGTTTACCCCTCACCGTGGCGGGCACGGGGGTGTGGCGTGGCGGCTGTGGCCACCGTGGGGCAGGGACCAGGGGCCGTGGTTCGCCCTCCACCCTCAGGGACGCGTGGGCTTTAGGGGCCGTGGCTTGCTCTCCCCGGGAGACGTCACGGGCCCTGGAGCCGATGGAAGGTGAGCGAGAGAATGTTACACGCGTGGGACACGAAAGAAGCACGTCCCACGGGAACCGGGTCTTGATTGGAAGTGTCCAGCGACGCAGACATGCCTGCTGGGCTGAGGGATGGAGGCGTTCTTGCTTGGTGTCCCTGCCCGGCCCTCCTGGCACGGCCCAGCAGCCTGCTGGCAGCTCTCCTGGGCGGGTGTTGGGGTTCCAGCCTCAGCACACTGGGGGGCTGCGGGGCCAGGCCGGGGCCTCGAGGTCCCACGTCTCTCTTCCCGCAGGGAGATGACAGTCTGTCTGCGATTACCTTCGACTCCGACTGTGAGACGGTGAGTGGGACCGGAGGCCCGCGGTCCCGTGCGGGTGCCTTCCCTTCCGCACACTCCGCACGCGTGTGCACCGGCACGCCCCCCACGGCGGCGTGTAGACCGGAACACGGATTCCGGTGCCTTTGAAAAGTGGTTGTAAATTTCAAGCTTGTTTTCAGAAGTCAGTCCTGAGCGGTGGGCAGGTTCCCATCTGCATCTGGTCTGGGCCCTGCCCCCCAGACCCCAATTCTGACCGTGAGGAAGGGGGCAGGGCTCGGTGAGGTCAGGGCAGCGGTGCGGGAGAGGGTGCTCTGAGCTGCACGGGGTCCTGGTCGGGCCGGGCAGGTCTGGCCTGAGGGCAGCTGCGGCCCCTCGGCCCAGGGTTGTTTGGAGGATGGAGCGGCTCCCTGCGCTGGTGGGAGAGAGGGAGCCGAGGGCCGTGGTCTGAGGGAGGGCCGTGGTCTGAGGGAGGGCCGTGGTCTGACCGGAGGGCCGTGGTCTGAGGGAGGGCCGTGGTCTGAGGGAGGGCCGTGGTCTGAGGGAGGGCCGTGGTCTGAGGGAGGGCCGTGGTCTGAGGGAGGGCCGTGGTCTGAGGGAGGGCCGTGGTCTGACCGGAGGGCCGTGGTCTGAGGGAGGGCCGTGGTCTGACCGGAGGGCCATGGTCTGAGGGAGGGCCGTGGTCTGAGGGAGGGCCGTGGTCTGAGGGAGGGCCGTGGTCGGAGGGTGGGCCGTGGTCTGAGGGAGGGCCGTGGTCTGGGGGAGGGCCGTGGTCTGAGGGAGGGCCGTGGTCTGAGGGAGGGCCGTGGTCTGAGGGAGGGCCGTGGTCTGACCGGAGGGCCGTGGTCTGAGGGAGGGCCGTGGTCTGACCGGAGGGCCATGGTCTGAGGGAGGGCCGTGGTCTGAGGGAGGGCCGTGGTCTGAGGGAGGGCCGTGGTCTGAGGGAGGGCCGTGGTCTGACCGGAGGGCCGTGGTCTGAGGGAGGGCCGTGGTCTGAGGGAGGGCCGTGGTCTGAGGGAGAGGGCCGTGGTCTGAGGGAGAGGGCCGTGGTCTGAGGGAGGGCCGTGGTCTGAGGGAGAGGGCCGTGGTCTGAGGGAGGGCCGTGGTCTGAGGGAGAGGGCCGTGGTCTGAGGGAGAGGGCCGTGGTCTGAGGGAGAGGGCCGTGGTCTGACAGGAGGGCCGTGGTCTGACCGGAGGGCCGTGGTCTGAGGGAGGGCCGTGGTCTGAGGGAGGGCCGTGGTCTGAGGGAGGGCCGTGGTCTGACCGGAGAGCCGTGGTCTGAGGGAGGGCCGTGGTCTGAGGGAGGGCCGTGGTCTGACAGGAGGGCCGTGGTCTGAGGGAGGGCCGTGGTCTGAGGGAGGGCCGTGGTCTGACCGGAGGGCCGTGGTCTGAGGGAGGGCCGTGGTCTGAGGGAGGGCCGTGGTCTCACCGGAGGGCCGTGGTCTCACCGGAGGGCCGTGGTCTCACCGGAGGGCCGTGGTCTCACCGGAGGGCCGTGGTCTGAGGGAGGGCCGTGGTCTGACAGCCCGCAGGGCGGTCTCCCCGTGCTGCCTTCACACCACCCTGAGCAGCCAGGGCGTGGCCGGCGGGCTGAGAGGGCTCACCTCCTGCTCCGGCTCTCCTTCCTTCCAGAAAACAAAGAGGAAAAGTGCCCACAAACCTCCACCCACCTCGCCCAGTAAGTAGGCCGGGTGGCCTGGGAGATGGCTGCTGGGGCGGGGCGTGCCAGGGCCTGGGAGGGAGACCCTGGGCTGTGCACACGGAGGGTCGTTGAGCTGTGCGCTGTGGCCACGGGCCTCGTTTGTGTTTGGAAATGGGGCGCACCCACTCCCGGGGCCGCCCCATGGTCCGGGGGCGGGGGCGGCCCGGCAGCTCCTGAGCGGTAGCCGAGCCTTGGAGCCTCCTGGGCCCTGTGTCCCGGCCCGGCCGGCTTTCTCCGCTCGGCGCTCAGCAGCGGAGGAGCGCGGGCGGCTCGGAGGCCGGGAGCACCACCCTGATCCCGCGCTGCTTCCAGAGTCGCCGTACCACTGCAAGCCCAGGACCCCGGCCTGCGGGCGGCCCCCGAGGACGGCGGCGAGCATGCCCCTGGGGAGCAGGACGGCGCTGACGCCGCAGAGGCTGTGGCTGGGAAGTGCCAAGCAAGGTCCGTGGTCCCGCAGCCCCTGCGTTCGGGGCGGGCAGCATGGCGGGCGGTGTGAGGGTTAATGTGACTTGTCTGGAAGATGACCTGGATCTTAGACGTTCAGCCTCCTGGCTTTCAGAATCAGCGTGGCTGGGGTCGGCCCCCGTGGTGCCGCTGTCCTGGGTCTGTGCACTGACGGCAGTGGGACGTGGGCCATGAGCACACGAGTGCCGTGGGAGTGGCAGCAGCCACACCGGCTCTCCTCTGAGGCCTCCCACCTCTGCACAGTCTCAGGGCGATAGCTGCAGGAACAGTGCAGGGTGGACATGCAGACACGGGAGAAGCCGGGCCTCACGGCGAGGGGCTGTTCTCACAGCGAGGGGCTGTTCTCACAGCGCTGCCTCCTGTGGGGCCTCTCCCTCCTGTCCCCGTGCCCGGGAGCCCTCCCTGCACCGCCCGAGGCCCGTGTGGAGGTGCCAGTGGCCCGGATGCCCTGAGCCCGGGCAGTGGCTTGGAGCCCTGGGGGGGGCTTTAGCTATTTACAGGTACACGTGTCCCTTCTCCGCCAGCTGCGCCCCAGCCCTGTGCTCTGCAGCTCCTACTCGCATGGCCATCTCACTCCTCTGGGGACACAAGCGAGTGGGACTAAAGCATGGATTCCTGCTCCTCGTCTTTAAGGATAGTTTTCTTAGCTCCCAGGTCTTCCGCAGACGTGGCCAAGAGGCTTCCTCCTCTCCAGGTCTCTCAGAGGCTGTGTTTCCTCCAGGTCACTCCCCGGGGACGCCGGTCTATAGAGAGAAGGAGGACATGTATGACGAGATCATGGACTTGAAGAAGGTAGAGTGTCTACCTGCTCCTGGTGGCTTCCAGTGAACGCCTTCCCAGCCATGACGGGAACGGGGTCTGTGCCGGGCCTGGCATTGAGAGAGCATGAGCGTGACCCCGGCTGGGCCCGGGCTGGTGACCCTGGTGGAGGACAGGCCCGCACCGCCGTGTCTGCCCCTGCTCTGCGCACCGGGAGGCGGGACCTGCAGAGGCCCATGCCCTGAGACCGGCCTGCGATGCCAGGTTTGGTGTGTTAACAGGGTCGCCTCCCGTGTGTGTGTTTCTCTAGTGCTAACGGGCGTTTCCCACATGCTCGGCCGCTCCCACAGCTCACAGCTGTTGTTGGCAGTAACCTTGAGACTCAGAGAGGTCGGTGGTCTGTCTCCAACCCGCTGAGCCCGGCCTGGGCCAGCTCCTCTCGCTTAACGTTCTGACGGCATCTCTTCTCCGCCATTTGCTTGGACCGGCCCGTCCCGTTAGTTTAAAGGAGTTTCTGTAGCAGCTTGTGGGTGCGTCAGGTTTGTAAACTGCTTGGCCAGTCTGTCTTCTCATTGGCCTGTTTGTTTGTTTATTTATTTATTTTAAACAGTAAATCTTTATTGTTCAGATTATTACAATTGTTCCTCTTTTTTCCCTCCATAGCTCCCTGCCACCTGGTTCCCATCCTACCCTCTGCCCTTACCTCCCTCCACACTGTCCTCATCTGTGGGTGTACGATTTTTGTTCAGTCTCTTCCCTTCCCCCACCCCCCTTTCCCCGAGAATTGTCAGTCCACTCTCTTTCTATGCCCCTGTTTCTATTATATTCACCAATTTATTCTGTTCATCAGATTTTTAATTCACTTGTTGATAGATATGTATTTGTTGTTCATAATTTTTATCTTTATCTTTTTCTTCTTCCTCTTCTTAAAGAATTCCTTTCAGCATTTCATATAATACTGGTTTGGTATCTGTGAAGCTCTTTAGCTGACCTTCAATTCTGAATGTCAGCTTGGCTGGGTAGAGTAGTCTTGGTTGTAGGTTCTTGCTATTCATCACTTTGAATATTTCTTGCCACTCCCATCTGGCCTGCATAGTTTCTGTTGAGAAATCAGCTGACAATCATATGGGTGCTCCCTTGTAGGTAACTAACTGTTTTTCTCTTGCTACTTTTAATATTCTCTCTCTGTCTTTTGCTCTTAGCATTTTAATTATGATATGTCTTGGTGTGGTCTTCTTTGGATTCCTTTTGTTTGAGGTTCTCTGTGCTTCTTGGACCTGACTATTTCTTTCACTAGGTGGGGGAAGTTTTTAGTCATTATTTCTTTCAATAGGTCTTCAATATCCTGCTCGCTCTCTTCTTCTGGCACCCCCATAATTCTGATGTTGGTATGCTTAAAGTTGTTCCAGAGGCTTCATACACTATCTTCAAATTTTTGGATTCTTTTTTCTTTTAACTTTTCTGGTTGAGTAATTTTTGCTTCTTTGTATTTCAAATCTTTGTCTTGATTTTTGCGTTCCTCAAGTTTGCTGTTGGGTGTCTGTATAATATTTTTTACTTTAGTCAGTGTATGTTTAACTTCTAGTTGGTCCTTTTCCATATCCTCGAGGGTCTCGCTAAATTTATCGGCCTTTTTTAGGAAATTCTTGAAAAACTTATAACCATGGTTTTGAACTCTATCTCCAGTTGTTTGTTTTCCTCCATTTCTTTCGTTTGTGATTTGTTTCTTTGTCTCTACATTTTCGCTGCTTCCCTGAGTTGGTAGGATGGCTCTGTGTGCTAGGTGTCCTGTACGGGCCAGTGGGTCAGCCTCCTCAGTTACCTGAGGTGGACACTCTTGGTGCACCCCTTTGTGGACTGTGTGTACAGCCTTATTGTAGTTAAGTCTTGATTGGTGTTGGTATCACTGGGAGGAACTGACCTCCAGGCCAATTGGCTGTGAGGATCTGTTGTGTCTATGCCAGAGACAGCCTTATTAGACTAGACTTGGAAAATTGCAAAAGCCTCTGTGCTCAGCTTGGATGGGGCAGAGTTTTAGGGTGGAGCCTACAGCCTTGGCTTCCCATCAGCTCCGCCCTATGAGGTTCCTGGGTGTCAGTGTCCCTCGATACTCGCTGCGAGCAACTCTGAGGGAAAGGCGCCCTCGAATTTCGCCCGCTGCCAGACAGTCTATTCTCTTCCCCAATGAATCTGGATTCCCAGATTCTTGCCCGGAACTGGGGTTCAGTGCAGTCAGAACTGGGGTTCAGCACAGTCTGGAGCTCACCTGATGTGTGAGCCGGTGCATATGCTCAGTGTGTGCATGCCAGTGTGCAATCCAGCGGCCCAGTCAACAGTCCATCCTCTGCATGCATTCACGTGCAGGCCTTGGAGCTCTGCCTTTCACAGCTCCCCTGAGTTTCCGCCTTACAGTCCAGATTCCCTGGCTCCCTCCCCCCTCCCCCCCCCCGCCCCTCGTATGAGCCTGGGTGCCCAGGGTCTCGCTCAAAATCGGAGTTCAGTGCAGTCAGAACTGGGGTTCAGCGCAGTCCAGAGCTTTTATCTCCTTCCTGCTAGAGAACGCCAGTCAGGCACTCAGCTGCCCCATCCTCTCCGGCTCTGTCCTCTCCGCACACATGTGCCCGGGTCCGTACCTCAGGTTTTCACAGCTCCTCTGAATTTTCCTTGTGGTTTTCTCTTTCCTTCCAGCTGTAGAATTTCCAGTCATTCAGTCTTCCCGTCTGGATGATGTCCATTTTGTCTTTAAGTTATATTCTTTAAATGGTTGTGTGAGGCGGCAATTTAGGTGTTTACCTATGCCGCCATCTTGGTTTCTCCCCTCATTGACCTGTTTAGGTCACTCACATGTAATTGTTGACATGTTAAGATTTAAGTCTTCCATCGTGTTTGGTGTGTGTGTGGCCTCATTGCCCCTGGATGATGGAAAGTCCTGACCCTCCATGGGCCGTCTCTGACCTCCCCCCTCCCCCCAGGCGGAGGGCGGCACCTGCTGCAGCCTGCAGGCTGGAGCGGACGCACTCCCCTTAGCTGGCAGGGAGGCTCTTGTCCCTCAGGCTCCTCCCCCTTCCCCACCCACTCTCTCACCCCCGTTAGAGCAGGCTGTTCTTGCTGGCGCCATTTGCTGGGCCAGGCCGGCTTCCTAGCTCACCTGTCTTCTCCCACACGCCCAGAGCTGCGCCGGCAGGAGGCACATGGACGCACGTGCTTCCCGTTTTCGGAAGCAGATCCCACTGCTGCTCCCTTACCTTTCCCGGTGATCCCGCATTGCCTGGCTGACCCGCTGGACACGCCGCATGGGCTGCCTGCTGGCCCCTCCGTGGGGTGTGCACTGAGGGTCCCCCGGAGGGAGAGGGTGCTTCCTCATGTGCACATGGAAAGAACACGTGACCTTGTGCCCGTGGCCTTTGGGTGGGAGAGCTCCTGGTTGTGTGGTGGCTCTCCCCCCCCCTCCCGGCACTTACCCCCTGGTCAGTGATGCCCTCAGTCTCCTTACTGTGACCCCCTCCGCCCACCGAGCTGTGTGCGTGCTGCATATCGAGAGGAGCCAGGCACGGTGAACTGGGTGCCGCCGCTGTCTGTTTGCACGCAATGTGTAAGCCGGTGCATAAGCTCAGTGTGTGCATGCCAGTGTGCATGCAAGGTGTATGTGTGGAGTGTGAGTGTGGGTGCATAGTATGTGCTGGTGTGTGTGTAATATATGTCTGTGTGTGAACCTGGTGTATATGTGCACCCTTTGTGCATGATGTGCGTGTGTGGTATGTGTAATGTGTGTGCACGAAGTGTGGGGTGTGTGCACATTGTGTGCCTGTGTGTGTACACAGTGTGCGGTGTGTGTACACTGTGTGGTGTGTGTGTGTGCTGTGTGTGTACGTGGTGTAGGGTGTGTGTACATGGTGTGTGGTGTGTGTGCACAGTGTATGGTGTGTGTACAGGTGTGTGGAAGATGCACAGGTGTGTGTGCATGGTGTATGGTGTGTGTATGGTGTATGGTGTGTGTATGGTGTATGGTGTGTGTACATGGTGTGTGGAAGGTGTATGGTGTGTGTACAGGTGTGTGGAAGGTGTATGGTGTGTGCACGGTGTGTGGTGTGTGTACAGGTGTGTGGAAGGTGTATGGTGTGTGCACGGTGTGTGGTGTGTGTACAGGTGTGTGAAAGGTGTATGGTGTGTGTACAGGTGTATGGTGTGTGTGCACAGGTGTATGGTGTGTGTACAGGTGTGTGGAAGGTGTATGGTGTGTGTGCACGGTGTGTGGTGTGTGTACAGGTGTGTGGAAGGTGTATGGTTTGTGTACAGGTGTGTGGAAGGTGTATGGTGTGTGTGCACGGTGTATGGTGTGTGTACAGGTGTGTGGAAGGTGTATGGTTTGTGTACAGGTGTGTGGAAGGTGTATGGTGTGTGTGCACGGTGTGTGATGTGTGTACAGGTGTGTGGAAGGTGTATGATGTGTGCACGGTGTATGGTGTGTGTACAGGTGTATAGATGGTGTATGGTGTATGCACGGTGTATGGTGTGTGTGCACGGTGTGTGGTGTGTGTACAGGTGTGTGGAAGGTGTATGGTGTGTGTGCACGGTGTGTGGTGTGTGTACAGGTGTGTGGAAGGTGTATGGTGTGTGCACGGTGTGTGGTGTGTGTACAGGTGTGTGGAAGGTGTATGGTGTGTGCACGGTGTGTGGTGTGTGTACAGGTGTGTGGAAGGTGTATGGTGTGTGCACGGTGTGTGTGTGTACAGGTGTGTGAAAGGTGTATGGTGTGTGTACAGGTGTATGGTGTGTGTGTACAGGTGTATGGTGTGTGTGCACGGTGTATGGTGTGTGTGCACGGTGTATGGTGTGTGTACAGGTGTGTGGAAGGTGTATGGTGTGTGTGTGCACGGTGTGTGATGTGTGTACAGGTGTGTGGAAGGTGTATGATGTGTGCACGGTGTATGGTGTGTGTACAGGTGTATAGATGGTGTATGGTGTATGCACGGTGTATGGTGTGTGTGCACGGTGTGTGTACAGGTGTGGTGTGTGTGCACGTTGTGTGGTGTGTGTACAGGTATGTGGAAGGTGTGTGGTGTGTGTACAGGTGTGTGGTGTGTGTGCACGTTGTGTGGTGTGTGTACAGGTGTGTGGAAGGTGTATGGTGTGTGTGTGTGCTGTGCGTGTGCACCGGTGTGCTCGCAGTGTGTGCACCATGCTGTCTTTCCCTTCTCAGTCACTGCACATTCAGAGAAGCGACGCGGACCTGCTGAGGACGAAGCTCCGGCGCCTGGAGGAGGAGAACAGCCGGAAGGACCGGCAGATCGAGCAGCTGCTGGACCCGGCCCGGGTGAGTGCCCGCTGCGGGCGCGCCTGGGCCAGAGGCGTGGTCGGGCGCCGGGCTGCCCGCTTTCCTCACGCCTCCCTGCCCACAGGGCCCAGACTTCGTGTGGACTCTGGGGGAGAAGAGGCCGGACGCCGGCTGGGTGAGTGTCAGCTCTGTCCACTGAGCGAGGCCCCTTCGCTCCAGAGCACGCCCGTGGGTGCAGCGCCTGCAGCTGAGGGGCTCGGAGCTTCCTGAGACCCCCCTCCCGGAGCCCGGCCTCCCGGACGCCGCTGAGGGCCTGGGAGGGGCCGGGAGGGGCCGGGCCAGAGGAGGGCGGCTGAGCAGCCCCCATGGGTGGAATCTGTAGGAGACGCGGTCACGGGGCCTCCCCCCACTAAACAAGTGCCTGCCGCCGGCACCTGGTTCAGAGCCGGAGCCGAGCAGAACCTCCCCCACACACACTGCTAATGCCCGTGGCACGCTGAGGGATGGCGATGGGCGGCAGCAGCAGTGCACAGACCGGCCCCCGGGGCAGGCGGGCTCAGGAGGGAGCATCAGCCTCAGGCCTGGGCTCTGCTACAGATCATCAACGGGCTGAAGCAGAGGGTCCTGCGGCTGGAGCAGCAGTGCAAGGACAAGGACAGCACCATCAGGTGCGGGAGAGGGGGAGCAGGGGGGCCAGCCTGCACCACCTGGGGCTGCCACGGGGGGGGGGGGGGCTGCACCACCTGGGGCTGCCACGGGGGGGGGGGGGCGGCCTGCTGCCTCACTCTGGCATTGGCTCCAGGTTCTCAGCTGCAGCTTGACTTCCCGCCCACCCCTCTCTGCCCCAGGTCCCCCTCTGCTCCAGGTGCCCCTCTGTCCCAGGTGCCCCTCTGCCCCAGGTCCCTCCTCTGCCCCAGGTTCCTCCTCTGCCCCAGGGCCCCCTCTGCCCCAGGTCCCCCCTCTGCCCCAGGTCCCCCCCTGCCCCAGGTCCCCCCTCTGTCCCAGGTCCCCCCTCTGCTCCAGGTCCCCCCCTGCCCCAGGTCCCCCTCTGCCCCAGGTCCCCCTCTGGTCCAGGGCCCCCTCTGCCCCAGGTCCCCCCTCTGCCCCAGGTCCCCCTCTGCCCCAGGTCCCCCTCTGTCCCAGGTCCCCCTCTGTCCCAGGTCCCCCTCTGGTCCAGGGCCCCCTCTGTCCCAGGTCCCCCTCTGCCCCAGGTTCCTCCTCTGCCCCAGGTCCCCCTCTGCCCCAGGTCCCCCTCTGCCCCAGGTTCCTCCTCTGCCCCAGGTCCCCCTCTGCCCCAGGTCCCCCTCTGCCCCAGGTTCCTCCTCTGCCCCAGGTCCTCCTCTGCCCCAGGTTCCTCCTCTGCCCAGGGCCCCCTCTGCTCCAGGTCCCCCCTCTGCCCCAGGTCCCCCTCTGCCCCAGGTCCCCCCTCTGCCCCAGGTCCCCCTCTGCCCCAGGGCCCCCTCTGCTCCAGGTCCCCCCTCTGCCCCAGGTCCCCCTCTGCCCCAGGTCCCCCTCTGGTCCAGGTCCCCCCTCTGCCCCAGGTCCCCCTCTGGTCCAGGGCCCCCTCTGTCCCAGGTCCCCCTCTGCTCCAGGTCTGGTCCAGCTTTGTCTTCCCCCAGAAAAGGAGAGTGAGTACTAGCCGTCTCCTGCAGGTGTCAGTAGGGAGCAGGGTGTCCTTGTCTTTCCGGTGCTGCCACATTGAAACCTCTGGCCCCTGTGCTCACTCTCCCCTGCAGCAGGACCTGAGGGTCTTGACACAAGAAGCCCTGAAGCGTGGCTTGTCCCGGCCGCCCCCTCCCCTGCCCCCGCCGTGGGAGGCGGGACGGGAGCCCTCCCGCTGTGGCATTGGCTCGGAGCTCGGGCTCTGCTCTGTTGTGCAGCGGTTCCCTCTGTCTCTGCTGTACCGGTCACGTGCCAGCCCCCGTGCAGAGGGCCTGCTCTCCACCGCCTCTGGGTGCCGCTCCCTGTCCGTCAGCAGCTGGGAGGGGAGACTGCTGGCCGGACGGACGGACGGAGAGAGCACTTCTCTGTCCTGTTACACTCTGCCCCGGACGCCCACCCCCTCCTGAGGCCCCGCCCCAAGGACAGCTCGCCCTAGTGATGCCTGTCAGGGCGCCTGTCCCCTTCCCGGGGCGGCTCTGCTCACGCGGGACTTGTTTCAGCAAGCTGCAGACGGACATGAAGACCACCAGCCTGGAGGAGATGCGGGTTGTCATGGAGACGTACTACGAGGAGGTGGGTGTCCTCTGCCAGCAGCGTGGGCTGGCACAGAGGGAGGGTCGCTGCTGGCGGGGGTGGCCACGGCGGCACAGTGGGGACCCCGCCCCCGCCACGCGAACATGGTCAGGCACAGCGCCTCCCTCTGGCACGGCAGGCGGGCCTGTGACTGCGCTCCGGAGGGCGTCCGTGGCGCTGGGCTCAATGCCTCTCTCTGTGCCCAGATCCACCGCCTCCAGACGCTGCTGGCGAACTCGGAGACGCCGGGACGCAAGTACGACACCTCGTGTGACACGCACTCCTGCCGGCGTCCCTTCGCCGCGGTCACGGCCGTGCCCCCGCGCCCTCTCCCTGCCAACAGCATGGCCTGTGCAGTCACTGACCACTCCTCCCACTGCCCCCAGGCAGCTGGCACGGCTTCCAGACGCCAGGGTGCTGGGGGCATGGCACAGGGCGCGGGCGGTCAGACAGGTGCGGGCGACACTCAGTGACCGAGCCGAGGCTCCGGCAGCGCCTGTCCGACCCGGCGTGTCCGTGCTGACCAGGCCCCTGTGGACGGCGCGTGCGGCGGGCGGAGCCTGGGAGGGCGGAGGCCGCTCTGGGCTGGAGGGAGGGGTGTGCATGCACCAGGGTCCGCAGCTGGGCCTCCACCGCGGTGCTGGTGCGGGGGCGGAGCCCTGCGGGCTGGTGGGTCAGAGTGCGTGTCCCAGGGGCCTGAGCGGTGCGGCCCGCAGGCCCGTGATGGAGCGGAAGGCCGGCCTGCGGCGGCAGAGGAAGCTGAGCGGCGCGCTGCTGAGCCTGTCGCGCAGCGTGCAGGAGCTCACCGAGGAGAACCAGAGCCTCAAGGAGGACCTGGACCGCGTGCTCAGCAGCTCGCCCACCGTCGCCCGGACCAAGGGTACTCCCTCCCCCACCCCCCGCAAGGCCGCCAGGGCAGGTTTCTGCCACTGGGCAGCCAGCTGACGGGCCGGGACTTACGTGCCCCTGCCGTGCCCGGCTCCTGCCTGGGTGACATGGTGCCGGGGGCGGGGGGAGCCAGCAGGTCGGGTGGGCAGGCGGGATGAGGGCGGAGAGGTGCAGGTTTGGGGCGGGGAGTGAGGTCAGGGCCGAGGCTTTGGCGGACCAAGGCCTGGTGGCCATCGGAGCAGGTGGCCTGGCGACATCAGCACCTGTGAGTGAGCAGAGGGGCCAGGAGCGAGCGGAGACCAGGAGAGGCTGCGGAGGGGCGGCTGTGGGCTGGCACAGAGGGGACCATGGCCTTGAAGAGCCTGACTGACGGGGCAGACCCGGGTCGCCTGAGGCCGAGGCGCCGGGACTCCACAGGGGGGGCCAGACTCCCCGCTGCAGAGAAGCCCTTTGGAGCAGGACTCTGCCGCCTCACGGGCCCGGGCGGTGCCAGGCGAGGACGGGTGGCTGAGGCCCAGTGTCCTGAATGCCGTGCCTCTGCCAGGGTGTGCAGAGTGGAGCAAGCCCCGGCTGCTGCGCCGGATCGCGGAGCTGGAGAAGGTGAGTGCCCGCCCAGCACGCTCCCTGCTGGTCAGGGCCGCCTTGTGGGGTGGAGGTGGGACAGGCAGGGCTTTGCTCCTGGACGCGGGGACTGAGCGTGGCCCTGAGCATGGGGCTGACCGCAGATGGGCGCAGGCCAGAGGGCGCGGGCCGGGCAGGGTGGGTGCAGAGGGCCCAGCACCTCAGAGAGCCGCTGCCCGGCCCGTGTGGCTCCCGCTGCCCACGCATCGCGGTGGTTTCCTCATTGCGTGTGCTGCCTGCACTCACAGACGTGCCCAGCCACATGCACGCCTCCTGCACGCCGAGATCACGCTGACGTGGCGCCCGAGCAGCCGGAGGGGGCTCAGAGCCAAGTGACCCTGTAACTTCACGTGTTTAGAAGCAACACGTACAACTCTATGATCTGGGCTTTAAACCGAGCTTGTCGGGAAGGAAAGGCCCAGGGAGGCTTGTCCGGCCGATGGATCCGGGGAGGGGAGCGGGGATGGCCAGGATAAGGTCTAACAGCCTGTGTTGCCCCCAGAAGATCAGTTCGATGGAAAGCTCCAAACCGCAGGCCCCGAACGGGGTCTGGTCGGACCCCCTGGCGCTCTCCGCTTCCGGCACGTGGGGGCACCAGCAGCCGTGCCCTGAGCCCCAGGAGGACAGCGAGCGCCCCCAGGACAGCGAGTGCCAGGAGGACAGCGAGCATCTCCGGGGCGCCCTGCGGAGCCTCAAGGGCGAGCGGAAGGCCCTGCAGGCCCAGCTGCAGGACAGAGAGTACGTGTCCCTCCGAGCGGCCTCCGCTGAGCTGCGTCCTCCCAGGCTTACGCCCTCGAGGGCGGGCTCGGCTCTCTGCAGCCCCGCAGCGCTTGTAGGGTTCTGGCTGCGAAGTGCAGGCCGCAGGAGTGGTGGAGGGACAGGCATCGGCCACACTGCGTCACTGACAGGCGGCCTCAGGCCCCTCACTGAGCTGGGAGGACGGCCACTCCTCCAATCCTGTGCGGAGGCCCACAGGCTCCCCCGTGTCCGACACCTGCCTGACGGGTAGAGAGCCGAGTTCTATGGCCCGGCTCTGCGAGAGGAACCGAGCCGAGCGGCTTCTGAGACCGCATCTCAGACTGCTGCTCAATGGCGGGAGCCAGCACCCCGCGCCTCGGCCCGCCCACCGGGGGCTGGTTGGAGGCCGGGGGCAATCTGACAGTGCCCGCTGAGACCCCTGGTGCCCTGTGCACATCCAGGCCAGGAGGACTCCCGCTGCCCGGTGGCTGAGTGCCCGCTGCATCTGACAGCGGAGCCGCGCCCTGGCACCGCCTGCAGGGAAGCCTGAGTGCATCCAGGAGCAAGGTGGCGGCTCTTCCTGAAGGCGGGTGTGTCGGGGAGCGAGCGGCGAGGCTGGGAGGGCAGAGGCGTCTGTGACGGCCCCTGAGCCTCACCTGGCAGCAGCTGCTTCCGGAACCTGCTGTGTGCGCTCTGCCCACCACCATGTGTGCGGCCGGGCTTCCGGCTGAGGCCTCCTGGAGCCCCCGCCCCAGCCACTCCCTGTGGACAGGCCTGTCCCCAGGACGGTGGAGCAGGGCTGCTCGCCACTGTCCCTGCCGCCTCTGCTCTGGCTGGCGGCGGTGGCGTTTGGTGGCATGTGGTGTGGGCTCGCCCACCCTGGCTCTGCCTCGCCCCCCGCCCCTGTTCGCCCGCCTTCGTAAAGACGGGAGGGGCTGCTGGCTGAGCCCCCTGCAGTGCCGGCCGCTGGGGGCTGACCCTCACGTCTGGTCTCTGCAGCCTGGAGGTGAGGCAGCTGCTCCAGGCCAAGGCCGACCTGGAGGCGGAGCTGGAGGAGCTGCGGCGAGGAGAGGAGGCGAGGCGAGCGCGGGAGGCGGCTCTGAGGTGAGCGAGCCAGGAGCCAGCGGCATGGCTGCTCCTCGGGCCGGCCAGCCAGCCAGCGGCCCGGCACCTCCACCCACACCCTCACGCCCCGCGCCCCGTCCGGCCTCCTGGGACGGTGCCTCCTGGTCCACCCAATGTCCGTGGTGGGTGGATAGAGAGAACGGAGTGTGTCCTGCCAGGGAACGAGAAGGACACAGTCGGACACGCACCACGCATGGACAGGCCTCAGACATGTCCATGAAGTGTCAGGCAGGCAGGCTGCCGAGGACCTGGCATGTCCAGAGCAGGCCGGGCAGGCGGGGAGGGGTCAGTGGTTGCAGGGCGAGGCCGGGGCATGGGGGTGAAGGGGGGTGCGGGGCTCTGGGCTCCCCAACACCAGGAGTGTACTGGGCCCCGCTGTGTGCTCTAAAATAGCGGCTTTTACACAATGAGAAGCCCCCACGAGGCCGAGCAGGGATCTGCGCTCTCAGAGTGATCACTAAGACAGGCTTCTGAAATAAACTTCACTTTTACAAAAGTGTGTTCTTAAACGTACACCAGGACAGCACTTCCTTCCAGCTATAGGGGCGGGAGATGCGGGAGTGGGAGCGGCTCCAGGGACAGCTCACTCCTGCCAGTCCTCACCCCCCGTGGCCGGGCCTCCCCCCGACTCCCCCAGAGGCCTCCCCCTGGCCCCCACCGCCTCCCCCAGCCCCGCCACCAGAATCGAAGTGATGCTTGTTCTCAGGAGAAAGGCGAGGCTGTGGTGCGCGGGCGGGCCAGGGGGCGGGTCCAGCTGAGGCTTTCGCTCCCTTAGCCGCCTCGGGACCAACCACCCCCACTGAGCCGCGTTGCTTCTTACGCCCACCAAGCACCCGCTCGCACTGTCAGCCTCTCCCGTTCCCGCTGGCCGGAGCGATGCTGGGTGCCGGCCCCACGGCGCTCCCGCCGACGGGACGGCACGCGTGCCGGTGCGGTGCCGCGTGGCGGCTGGGCCCACACCACTGTCTGCCGCCGGGTGTCACGCGGACGCTGCGCACCGGTGACACAGCCGGCGCCCCTGTCCCCCCACAGGGAGGAGATGGGAGCGCTGACCAGGAGGTGTCAGGACCTGGAGGCAGCCAAGGAGGAAGAGGCAGTCGGCCCCGCCGAGGGGCCCCCTGAGGTACGGCCTCCACGTGTCCCCACGGAGCCCCCGTGAGGACGTGGTGCCGGTGGCGGCCTGGAGCGGGTCCTGTGGGCCGTGCGTGTGGACCCCACGTGGCACCACTCGGGCTCACTGGCCGTCACGGAGCCGTTCTTGCTGCTTTCTCCTTCAAAGCCGGCCAGGAGCCTGCCCTCGCCCGAAGGCCCGCATTTGTACCTGCGTCAGCCACAGACCGAGCGCCGGACAGCAGGCGTTCTGGCCTGTGCAAAGCCACCGGCTGCCTCCGGGAGCCTGCACCCTGGAGAGCACCCCCGAGGGCCAGGCAGCAAAGCCCTTCCGAGCATCCCCTGGGCGCAGACCCCGGGGCGTCCCCCGGGCGCAGACTCCGGGGCGTCCCCCGGGCGCAGACTCCGGGGCGTCCCCTGGGCGTGCGGGCGCAGACCTCTCCGCACCGCACAGGCTGTCGGGGCCAGTGACCCTGCACCCTGGTTCCTTGCAGGCCCCGGAGGAGCCCCGGCCGGCGGGAAGTCCTCCTCAACAAGACCCGGAGCCCGGCGCCAGCAAGGACAGCCCGGCCCCGCCCTGCGCCTGCTCGGAGCAGCGGAGGCACGCGGCTGCCAGCACCCTGCAGGCCCGGTGGAAGGCGTACAGGCGCCAGGTGCGGGCAACCAGGCCCTGCGGGGCTGCACCCACCAGGCGGTGTTGAGGCCCTCCCAGCCGCCGAAACCTCTGCTGTCTGTTCACCGACCCTCCGGGCCCCTCGGACGGGCGGGCCTGTGGTTGGTTCAGGAGGACATGGGACAGGACAGACGGCCGAGGATGGTGTGCCTGGGAGGGCAAACACCACCCTGCAGGCGCGAGGGCCCTGGGAGGAGTGAGCGCGCACCATGGCAGGGGCAGGACAGTCCCAGGCCTGGCAGAGTGGGCACCTCTGCCTCCCGCCCCCGGGACTGGCGGGGCCGGACAGGGAACGGCTCCGAGGGGAGACCTGCTCCTCGCGCTGACTCGGGCCTTGTCTGTTTCAGAAGAGAAAGGCCGCGCTGGACGAGGTGAGCGGGTTTGGGCCCAGCTTCCGAGGAGGTGAGCGTGGGGGGGCTCCGGCAGCTCAGTCCTGGTCCCAGGGAATCCTTCGGAAGACACAGCGAGGCGAGGTCGTGCGGCCGCTCCTCCGGGGTGCGGACGGCGTGTGACGTGGTTCACGCACACACTGAGCCTCCGGGGCTCACGGTCACGGTCACGGTCACGGTCACGGGGCCGGGCTGGTGAGAGAGGCGCCCAGTCTCGGTGACCATGCGGTCGGACATGAGGGACGCCCTGCCTCTGCTCTTGGAGCTTCCCCCCAAAATCTCCCCTGGTCCCAACCCCCACCTCCTGGGCATTAACCCATCTCCTGTCCTCTCCCTGCCAGGCGGCCACGGTGCTGCAGGCGGCCTTCCGGGGACACCTGGCTCGGGCGAGGCTCTTGGCGAGCCCAGCGTGTGGTCCCGGACCTCCCCGTGCGCCCGGCCTCCCCATCCAGGTACCCCCCAGGGCGGGGCCCAGCGGCCCCTCCCCGTCCCCATCCCGCCTCCCCCCGGTGGTCCTGCCTCCCTCCCGGCCCTGCAGGCCCGCCTGGCGCTCCCCAGCACCCAGTCACGTGGCGGCGCTGGGACACCCGGCGAAGGTCCTTCCTGCCGTTCAGATGGGAGCTTAGACCGGAGCGGGCGCCTCTCCTCGGGAATGGGGGCGTCCTCTGAGGTCTCCAGCGCCAGGAACTGACCTGCACCGGGAACTCTGCCTGGAAGGAGGGGCCGCCCCCGAGGGAGCTGTGCCACCCGAGGGCGGAGGGTTCAGGGCTCGCCCTGTCGCTACCCACAGAGCCCGCCCTCACCCCGCCCTCCGAGCCCCGTGGTCCAGGCCGAGGGCGACCCCCGGCAGGAGGCGGCCGTCATCCTCATCCAGTCGGTCTTCCGGGCACACCTGGCACGGGTCAGGCCCAGGTGAGCGCCGGGCAGGCCCGCCTGCTGTCCCTGGCACAGGTGCGCTGGCACAGGGTGGAGGGGGCTGGGCCAGGGCAAAAGCCACACCTGCCAAAACCCACCCCCGTCCTGGTCAGACGGGCAGGTCAGGCAGGAGGGTGAGGCCCATGGGGCTGGCAGAGCCCAGCACATGGACTGGCTGCATCATGTCCCAGTGCACCCCCCCTTTCTGAGGAACCGCGGGCCCCCCCCCACCCCGGCTCAGGGCCTCCTGCTGGCACACCGTCCTGAGGGATTCGTGCTGTTGCTGGTCACGCTGCCCTGAGGCAGGACTCAGCCCCTCTGAGCGAGCTCGGCCGCGGTGGGTCCACAGCGAGGCTCCCCGGCCGGTGTATGCTGCTGTCCCCCTCCACACCTCCGTGTCTCCGCCTGCTGGGCCCACAGCTCCTCCACGCCGAGTGGCAGCCACACAGAGCCGCATGGTCCGGCTGCCTACGACCACGGCGCCCCCCGCCCCTGGCACTCAGCCAGCGGGAGGAGGACGGGCAGCAGGGAGGGGTGTCTGAGGTCCGGCCTCAGTGAGCATGCGGCAGGCTGACCGAGGCCTGGGGGAGCCCCCACGGCCAGCTGTGCCAGGATGGGTTCGGCCAGGGCGCAGCTCCCTGCCGCCCACCCTGACGGGCTAGTGTCCCTGAAGCCAGCAAGCCCAGCTGCGGTCTCTCTTCCAGTCCCGGGGCGCTCCCTGCCGCCCCCACCAGGACGCCTGCTCCGGCCGCACTCAGCACGCCCTCCTCGCCTGCCCCCGCCGCAGCACCTGCCGGTGAGTCACGTCATCGCGTGTCGGTGCCAGGGCCACAGCCCACCCCCCGGAGCACAGGACACGGAGCGCGTGAGGGCCCGATCCCTGCACCTGCAGACTGAGCCTCCCCCCACCTCTCTACCCCGCCTCCCCATCACAGCGCCCCCTCCCCGGGGCTGTGGGAGGGCAGGCGAGCCCCACGCACTTCCTGGACTCAGAACCAGCACAGGTGCCCCGCCCCCGCTGCTGCCCGGTCCCCGCCTCGGCCCGGTCCCCGCTGAGGCAGGCGCCCCGGCCCTGTGCTCGGCTCCAGCTGGGCCTCCCTCGCCGGCCCCGGGGCTGGGTTTCCTTTCCGCTCAGGAAGGCCCGGGCCGCTGGCGGGAACGGTGGCGGGACCCTGTGAGGAGGCAGCTGGGAATTGCTCTCAGCCCCCAGATCCAGGGCTCCCTCTGTCCTGGGGACCCTCCTACCTCGTCCTGCAACTGGGCAGCTCACCTCCACCTGCTGGAGGGGAAGGAGCCAGGCGGGTGGAGATCTGAGCCTGCAGCCTTAGATCTGAACGGAGGTGCCGGGAGGACGGAGGCCGTGGGTCCGCCCGGCGCTGACTCCGCTTCGGGCCTCGTGTTTCAGGTCAGGAAGACGGCGAAGGGAGCAGCGGGGACGCCGTGGAGGGCCCAGCCCCGCAGTCCTGCCCTGGTGAGTGGGAGGCCACGGGCAGCAGTGGCCACGGGCGGGGAAGGAGGTGCCCTCGGCCCAGCACCTTCCCTGCAGCGGGGAGGGGAGGTTCCAGGACCCGCTGAGTCTGCACACAGCTCGCCCGGAATCCCCATCGGAAACCGTCTTACCGTCTCCGTCGCCCTTGGCAGCCTTGTCCGGGCTCTCACTCGAACTCCAAACCTCCGTCTGTAAAGCTCAGCAGACGGTCCAGGGACCCGCCCAGCCCCTGCACTGGGGCACGGGCTCCCCGGCCTGCAGAGCCGGTGCGGCCTGGTCCTGTGATCGGGCTGCGGTGTCGCCCGCCTCCCGGCAGCCGCCACCGCCACTCCGTGTGCAGCCTGCTCCCCGGACCAGCCTGTGTGACGGCCCGGAGCCGTTCAGTCTGGTTTGAGGGGAAAGGCCTGGGCTAACTTTGAATACTGACGTGGCTTTTTTGTTAATCCTCACCCGAGGGTGTTTTTCCATTGGTTTTAGGGAGAGTGGGAGAGAGGGGGAGAGAGGAACATCGATATAAGAGAGAAACATCGGTGGGTTGCCTTCTGCAAGAGCTGGGCCAGGGCCTGGGCCAGGGAGGAGCCTGCTACAAGCCCTTGGCTGGAATCGAACCTGAGACCCTTCCCCAAGGCGACACTCTGTCCACTGAGCCAGCCCGGCCAGGGCCAGGTTTTTATTTTCATAAGTTTCCACTTCGGTGACCATTTCCCTGAGTCAGAGGAAGCTGATGCGGCGAGAGCTCCCTCTTCTCCCTCCGGCTCAGCCCCGTCTCCCCTCCGATCCGCCAGGCAGAGAGCGAGGGTCTCCCGGGGGGTCCCGGCCCATGGCAGCTCAGCTGTGCGGGGAGCCGTGGTCCTGCTCCGCCCCTGACGGGCGATGCTCAGGAGGAGGCTGGTGGCCCGGGCCAGCATTTGCCGCCACCGCCTGCCAGACCTGCTGCCATCGCGCTCGGGAGCCCCACACTCAGCCGCCGGTGCCGGTGCCGGCAAGGCCTGCCTCGGCGTTTGCGTGTCGGAAAGGCCAGTGTTCGGAGCTGAGCCGAGAGGCGGGGTGGCTAGGCGGTGAGAAGCGGGTCTGGGTCTGTCCAACCGCTCTGGCAGGAACCCTGCGTTTCCTGCCGGCGGGCGGCAGGTGACCCCCTCCCCGGTTCCTTCCAGCCGGGTCCCCGCCCGCGCCCGCGCCCTGGGAAGACGCAGACTCGGACGACTCGGACGAGGTCGTCATGGCTCCAGCTCTGCCCGCCAAGAGAAGCGCCCCCCTGCCCCCCGCCCTGGCCCCCTGCAGGCGCCCCGCACTCGGGGACACGCTGTCGGCGGAGGGCTCGCTCAGGAGGAAGCTGCCGGAGGACGGGCCCTGACCGGCCCACTTTCTCGGGAGAACAGGACCCGCTCTCCCCCGCACCTCCGGCTTCTGTGTGGCTGGTTTGTGGGGCCGGTGCTCGCCTCCCGGGCTGGTGTCTGCAGGGGGGAGCCCGACCCCCTCCCTGCCGGCTGCTTGGTGCCGGCACAGGCTGGGCCGTCCCGGTGCCCGCCCCGTCCAGGGCCAGTGGCCTGGAAAGCCCGCAGGTGCTGCGTGTTCCGAGGCCCCTCCGCCCGGAGCCAGCCTCTGCACGTCTGTCCCTCCAGCCGCTCCGGGCGAAGGGCCTGAGGGACCCCCAGGGCCTGGGCAGACTTGTGTCCTGGGCCGTGTGGATGTGTGTACGTCCTGTGCCCTGGCCTCAGCACACGCCACGCCTCCGTGACTTGATGGATGATGTGTGGCCTAGCCCCTCAGACCCGAGACTGTTCCCTGGAGATGGCCCGGCCCCTGCCGGGCACACGTGCAGGGCTGGGACCCAGGGCCCGCCCCCTCCTGCTGCCAGACTGGCACCCACTTCCAGCGCCCAGGTGGGCACCAGTGCTGAGGCCCGCAGGGGGCAGGGGGCAGGGCCTGTGTGAGCCTGGGGGTGGGACGGGGAGGTGGTAGGACGGAGGCTCCTGGGGAGGCTGGCCGGGGTCTGAGTGTCGGGGAGGGTGGCTCTGGGCCATTTCTCTGCTCGCCTGGGCATCACCTCGCCCTGTCTGTGAGCACACCTGTCTCCCCAGACCCAGCTGGCAGCGACCTCACATCATTGGCTGCGGAGCTGTGGGGGGAACCACCCCTCAGGCTCCAGGGGCACTCCCTCATGGCCTGGCCGGCTGTCTGTCCCACAGGGCCACCCTCAGCTCAGTTCCTGCCCCCCGCACCCCTCCCGCCCCCCACACAGACAGACTGCAGCCCCGGGAGGCGGGCAGGAAGAGGAGGGGAGGCCAGGCGGATGCGGGGCTGCCAGCGTGTGTGGAGCGTGGTCACCGGGAGGGTGCGAGGCGGGGTGGCCTGGGTGTGGCTGTGCTGACCAGGGCTCGTCTGCGTGGCAGGAGAACGGGCACGGCCCTGAGGCAGGCGCTGCTGTGCACCGGGCTGTCCCTGAGGCGGGTGGCGCTGGGAGAGGAGGTGCCAGCCCGTCCACAGCGGGGAGGCCAGCCAGGCGCCCTGGGAACGGGGGGCTGGGAACAGGTCGCACAGTGGCCGGTGGCTCGGGCTCCGAGGACCTGAGAGCCGACACCAACCTGCTGGCCCACCTCCCGCCCTCCCCAGCCCAAGCAGCTGACCCCCTCCTGCGTCCTTAAAGCCCAGGTGTCCTCTGGAGTGCGACCCGGGCGGGCGGGCAGGCCGCTGGGCGGGCGTCCGTCCGTCTGCTGTGTCCAGCTGCCCTCGCTGTTGAGACTGGGGGGTGAGCCCCCTGCCCCGAGCCGCGGCCCTTGTGAATAAAGCCGTTTGCCGCCATTGTCATCCTCGCCTGGAAAGCTGCCGTTTCATTGCTCCCAGGCGCGGGTTCTGTCTGCCGGGCCACGGGGACCGCACGCTGGCCGCCTCCGGACACCCCATCCATCCCCCATGTTTCCTGCGAGGACTTGAGCACCAGGAGAGGAAGGGGGGGCGTCCCCGAACCCCACTCCACTCTGCTTTGGCCCCAGGGAGAGACGTGTTCCTGGCCAAGCGAGGTGCCCCAGCGAGGACGGGCCTAGGACGGCGTCCGCGTGTCCTGGGAGCCTGGCTTCCCAGCGCCCAGCAGACAGGCGTGTCCGTGGTCTGTCCGCGTGCACTGCTGCCGGCCCAGGCCCTGGCGGAGCTGCTCTGAGCCCCCAGTGACCTGGGGTTGGCCGAGGCGTGTGCCAGGCCCCGCCTGATAGCCGATGCCCGCGTGGCGAGCTGGCAGTGGCGCTAGGAGACAGTGGTAGCAGCACGGCGGGCAGCGGGCACATCAGACAGCCTGCCACGCGCTCCCCGAGGCCGGTCAGAGCAGAGGCAGCCGGCGGCGGGGGGCCCGGAGTGTGTGGAGCCTCCCGGGAAGGGAGAGCCGGCCTGTAACCATAGAAATGTATGTCAGGGGCGCCCGAGTGCGCGCGCACACACACACACACACACACACACAGCCCCTCGCTTCCTTCGGGAACTCTGCTTCGCCGCCTCAGAGACCAGCCTGACCGATGATGTAAGGCGGGAATGCGCCCGCCCATCGCCAGGGAAACGGGAAGCCAGGATCACCAAGCCTTCCCTTCAGCTCGCTGGGGTTCGGCGCTCTAGCGAAGGGTCGAAGGGTGAGCTGCGGTCGGCTCCCTGCTGGGCACAGCCAAAGGCCTTGGAGGGGCCCAGCGTGCAGCCTGGGGCGCCCCCTGGAGGCACTGCCGGGGGGGGGGGGGGGTCCTTCCTGAAGAGGCAGGTGCCCCAAGGCCTGGGCTCCCAGTGAGGCAGCAGGTGTGGGGACTTCCTCCTCCCTGGGAAGGGGTGTGTGTGCCCCAAAGCACTGCCCCCGCTCCCGGCACACATCTGAAATGGAATGCAAGACCAAGGGGAGCCCTGGCCGGGGTGCTCAGTGGGTAGTGTTGACTGGAGGACCAGAGGGGTCATGGGTTCGACTCCTGGCCAAGGGCATGTGCCTGGTTGCAGGCTGGATCCCTGCCTCTGTCGGGGCACATGTGGGAGGCAACCAATCAACGTGTCTCCCTCACCGATGTCTCTCTCGCCCCTCCCGCTCTCTCAAAGTCAGTGGAAAAAATACCTTCAGGTGAGCATCAAAGATCAATTTTTAAAAAACGGAGAGTAGCCCGGCTGCTGTGGCTCCATGGTTGAGCATTAACCTATGAATCAGAGGTCAGGGTTCGATTCCCGGTCAGGGCCATGCCCAGGCTGTGGGCTCGATCCCGTGTGGGGCCCTCAGAAGGCAGCTGATCCATGACGCTCATCAGCGATGTTTCTCCCTCTCCCTTCCCCTCTGACGTCAATAAAAACATTGTCTTAAGGAAGAGGAGAGGCCCTGGGGAGCCGGCCCTCCCCTCCCCTCCTCCCGCTGCCCCGGCCCAGGCCCTGGGCCTCCCTGTGCACGGGGAACACTGCCTCCCCTCCCACTGACTACAGCCCTTCCCCGAAGCCAGCCGCCCGCCGGGAAAGCCTGCGCAGAGCCAGAGCTCACAGACAACGCTCCGCCCGTTTAACATTCGCTGCACGTGGGCCGGTGTGCCTGCCGGTCCGTCTGCAGCGGCCGCTCCTGAGACCACCCCTCCCCGGAGACCCTGCCCGGTGCGCGGGGCAGGCTGGCAGGCCCAGGCACCGTGTGCAGAGGGGGCAGTGGCCAGAGGCTCGGGCATGCTGCCCCTCCCCCCAGGAGAGGGGAAGGGGGTGTAGGGGTGTCTTCCTGGCCCTCACTCGGCTCGGCTCTCAGAAGGTGGACGGGCGCTGGCAGCCTGGCGAGCACACACTGGCTCACAGCTGGGAGGGCGCTGTGAATGCTGCCGCCCTGCCCCCTCCATCCCCTCCCCCTCCATCCCCTCCCCCCTTCTCCCCCCTCCGTCCCCTCCGCCCCCCTCTGCCCCGCCCCTTCCATCCTCGCCCCCCTCCATCCTCTCCCCCCTCCGCCCCCCCCTCCATCCCTCCCCCTCCAATCCCCTCCCCCAATGCACTGCCCCTTCGCCCCCTCCATCTCTCCCCCCTTCCGCCCCCCCATCCCTCCCCCCTCCATCCTCTCCCCCCTCCGCCCCCCTCTGCCCCGCCCCCTCCATCCTCTCCCCCTCCGCCCCCTCTGCCCCGCCCCCCTCCATCCCCTCCCCCCTTCTCCCCCTCCATCCCCTCCCCCCTCCGCCCCCCTCTGCCCCGCCCCCCTCCATCCTCTCCCCCCTCCGCCCCCCTCCATCCCTCCCCCCTCCATCCTCTCCCCCCTCCGCCCCCCTCCATCCCCTTCCCCCTCCGCCCAGAGCCCGGAGAAGCCAGCCTGATGGGAGAGGAGAGGAGAGCGCTCAGGCAACCGGAACCCGGGGGGGGGCTGGGGGTCTCAGATGGGGAGAGCTCCAGCCACCCTCCTCCCAGTGCGTCTGGGCCTGGTGGAGCAGGGAGGGTGGCAGCCCTGAGCCGATGTGCCATGGAGCCGGGCCTCAGCCCTGTCAGATGGCCGGTGGGGCCGCCGGCTCCTGTGTCCCCGCCCCGCCCCGTAGCCAGGCTGCAGAACCGGAGGGTCCCGGGTGCGGTGCTGCTGGCCCACCTGCCAGGCCTGGGCACGCTCCGTGTCCCCTTCTGTGCACAGGGAGTGAGCGTGCCACATCGCTGGTTGTGAGCTGGCAGCCCGGGCATCACCTACCGAGGCCTGGCCGCGCCCCTGTCCCAGCGCCGGGAGGGAGGGGCGGGGGAAGGCAGAGGGAGACTTTGGACTTGGTCCTGAGGCCGGTCAGCAGGGAGGGACAGGGCAGGTCCCCCAGAGGAGATGGGGGGGGCAGGGCGGAGGCGTGCCCGCGCTCCGGTGGCCTTGAGCAGGACGTCGGCTCATATTCCCAGGGCCCTTCAGAGAGGCCGTCCTGGGAGGGCCACCCTGGCTCCCCCTGTCCCCCCCACACACACACCCCGCCTGGGAGGGAGCGAGCGAGCGAGGTGTGTCAGAGCCGGGCTCGGAGTCTGGGCGCCCAGGGCCCCCCAGGACAGACCCTGCTGTCGGCGTGGGGACAGGCTTAGGGTTGGGGGGGAGGCTGGCCTCCAGCTGTGGCCGCCTCCCCGGTTATCCTGGCACCCACGGGGGCAGGGGGGTGACTCCTGCTTTCGGACGAGGAGACCGAGGTCGGACAGCTGCCTCTCGAAGGGCCTGCGCCCTGGAAAGGTCTGTCCCGGGCAGCCACGCCGGAGCAGCCACCAGCCTCGGAGAACCGAGGCCTGTCCCTCCCAGCCAGGCCCCCGCCACCACCCATCACACACACACACACTCACACACACACACACACACACACACCACTCACACACACACACACACACACACACCCACTACACCACACACACCACACACACACACACACACACACTCACTCACACACACACACTCACACACACACACACACAAACTCACACACACACACCACACACACACCCTCACACACACACCCACTCACACACACACCACTCACGACCACCAC